CTGTCCCCAGGGGTGCCGTCCCGGCTGCAGGAGCTCCGGGAGCGCCAGCGGGGGCTGCGCCAGGCTCTGGGGCTGCGCCTGCGGGGAGCTGCGGCGCCTCTGCCTGCAGGAGGCCGTGAGTGACCCCCGGGTGACCCCCTGAGTGACCCCTGAGTGACCCCAGAACCCTTGGAGTGACCCCAGAACCCTGACCCCCCCCACCCCTGAATGACCCCTGACCCCCAGCACTGAGTGACCTCGAGTGACCTCTGGGACACCCCCAGGACCTCCTAAGTGACCCCAAGTGACCCCCATGACCTCTGGAGTGACCCCTGAGTGACCCCCAAACCCTGATCCCCTGTCCCTGAATGACCTCTGACCCTGACCCCAGCACTGAGTGACCTTGATTGACCCCTCAGTGACCCCCCAGGGACTCCCTGAGTGACCTTGAGTGACCCCTGCCCACTCCACCTGGACACCCTGAGTGACCCCTGACCCCTGGCCGTGACCTCAATCCCAGACCCCTTGAGTGACCCCAGAGTGACCCCCAAACCTTGGATCCCCCCTCCCTGAATGACCCCTGACCCCTGGGTTTGCCCCCCCCTCCCCCTCCAGGACCCCTCCCCAAACCCAGGGGAATCCTGGGGGGGGCTCAGGGCAGGGGATTTGGGACATTGGGGCTGGGGGGGGATTTTGGGGGGGCTCTGAGGAATTGGGGGGGGGGGGGGGTCCAGGGTGGGGGATTTGGGGAATGGGGGGGGGGCTCTGAGGAATTTGAGGGGGATTTTGGGTGGGTGGGGGGCACTGGGTGAGAAAATTTGGGATAATGGGGGCAGGGGATGGGGGGGGTGGGGTTGAGTTCCCCAGGGACCCCTCCCCAAACACCACCAGGACCCCCCCAAACCCCCTCAGGACCCCTTAAACTCCTCCAGGACCCCCTAAACTCCCCCAGGACCCCCCCAAACCCCCTCAGGACCCCTTAAACTCCTCCAGGATCCCTTAAACTCCCCCAGGACCCCCCCCAAAACCCCTCAGGACCCCCTAAAGTCCCCCAGGACCCCCTAAAACCCCTCAGGTCCCCTCCCCAAGTACCCCCAGGACCCTCCCCAAATGCCCTCAGGACCCTCCCCAAACCCCTCCAGGAAACCCAAAACCCCCCCAGGACCCCTCCCCCAAATACCCCCAGCCCCCCTAAACTCCCCCAGGACCCCACCAAACCCCCTCAACTCCCCCCTACCCCCCCCAGGAGCTGACGGGGGCAGTTGCCCCCCGAGTACCCCCTGGAACCCGGAGAGAGACCCCAGCCCCCCCCCCGGCGCCGCTCCGGGGCCCCCCCGCGGGGACCCCCCCCCGAGGTGAGTCTGGGGACATTTGGGGACATTTGGGGACATTGGGGTTGGGGGGGGGTTTGGGGGAGGCTGAAATGTCCCTTTTGGGGGGAGGGGGGGGAAGTGTCACCATTTGAAATTCCCCCTGGGTGTCCCCATGATGTCCCTGTGGTGTCCCCGTGATGGTCATTGGTGGCCCCTGTGTGTCCCCATGGTGTCCCCATGGTGGCCCTCGTTGTCCCCATGGTGTCCCCGCTCCCGTGTGTCCCCATGGTGGCCCCTGGACCCCTCATGGTGGCCCCCATATCCCGGGTGTCCCCATGACGTCCCTGTGGTGTCCCCATGGGGGTCTTTGGTGGCCCCTGCGTGTCCCCATGGTGGCCCCAGGTTGGTCCCTGGTGGCCCCTGGATCCCCCATGGTGGCCACCACTTCCTGGGTGTCCCCATGATGTCCCTGTGGTGTCCCGTCTTTGGTGGCCCCTGCGTGTCCCCATGGTGGCCCCAGGTTGGTCCCTGGTGGCCCCTGGATCCCCCATGGTGGCCACCACTTCCTGGGTGTCCCCATGATGTCCCTGTGGTGTCCCCATGGGGGTCTTTGGTGGCCCCTGTGTGTCCCCATGGTGGCCCCAGGTTGGTCCCTTGGATGTCCCCATGGTGGCCCCATGGATCCCCCGTGGTGGCCACCACTTCCTGGGTGTCCCCTGGGTGTCCCCATGCTCCGAGTGGCCCCCATGGTGTCCCCTGTCCCCACCATGGTGTCCCCACTCCCGTGATGTCCCCACGGTGTCCCCGCAGTGGCCCCTGTACCCCGACGGTGGCTCCCGTCCCCCCGTGTGTCACAGGGGCACCCCCACGTCCTGCGGGTCCCCACACGTTCTGGTACGTCCCCATGTCCCCACGGTGTCCCCCTGGTGTCCCCTGGGCCCCACGGTGTCCCCATTCCCTGTGGTGTCCCCTTGGTGTCCCCTTGGTGTCCCCTGGCCCCACGGTGTCCCCATAATGTCCCCCCCGTGGTGTCCCCTTGGTGTCCCTCTGGTGTCCCCTGGGCCCCCTGGTGTCCCTGTGTTGTCTCCTTGCTGTCTCCACAATGTCCCCATGGTGTCCCCACCCTGTCCTTATTTCCCCCTTCCCCCCATTCCCAAATTCCCATTTTTTGTATTTTTCCCACCATTCCCATTTTCCCACATTCCCGTTTCTCACAGGTACAGAAGAAGCTGCTGGAGAGCACCCGGCCCTTCCCCATTTCCCTGGTTTTCCTCATTTTGCCCTCATTTCTCCCTGTTTTTCCTCAGTTTTCCTCATTTTCCCCACATTTCTCCCTGTTTTCCCTGCCCAGGTATGCCGGGCATGGCTGGAGGTGCAGGCCCCAGTGGAGGCCCAGGCCTGAAGGTCGCCCGGTCCTCTCACATTTCCCCATTTTTCCCACATTTCTCCACATTTATTCCCATTTTCCCCACATTTATTCCCATTTTCCCCACGTTTATTCCCATTTTTCCCACATTTCTCCCCTCAGATGTGCCAAGCATGGCAGGAGGTGCAGGCCCAGCCCCAGAGGCTGCCCAGCTCTTTCCTATTCCTCCATTTTTCCCCATTTTCCTCACATTTCTCCCCATTTTTGACCCATTTTCCTTTCATTCCCCCCCATTTTTCCCATTTCCCTGCCCAGGTGTCCCACACGCGGCCGGAGGCGCAGGCCCAGGCCCAGGTATGGGCCCCAGCCTAGGCTGCTAGGCCCTGAATGCCACCAGGCCCTTTCCTGTTCCCCCATTTTCCACACATTTTGCCCCATTTTTCCCCCATTTTCCTCAGATTTCCCCCTCAGGTGTTGCATGTGTGGCGGGAGGCCCAGGTGCAGGCCCAGGCCTAGGCTGCTAGGCCCTGAATGCCACCGGGCCCTTTCCTGTTCCCCCATTTTCCACACATTTTCCCCCATTTTTCCCCCATTTTTCCCCCATTTGTCCCCATTTTCCCCAGATTTCCCCCTCAGGTGTTGCATGTGCGGCAGGAGGCGCAGGCCCAGGCCCAGGTGCAGGCCCAGGCCTAGGCCGCTAGGCCCTGAATGCTGCTGGGCCCATTCCTGTTCCTCCATTTTCCACACATTTCCCCTCATTTTTCCCCCATTTGTCCTCATTTTCCACACATTTCTCCCCATTTTCCCCCATTTGTCCCCATTTTCCCCTCATTTTCCCCTCAGGTGTCGCATGCGCGGCAGGAGGCGCTGGTGCAGGCCCAGGCCCAGGCCCCAGCCTAGGCCGCTAGGCCCTGAAGGCCGCACGGCCCTTTCCTGTTCCTCCATTTTCACCTCATTTCTCCCCATTTTTCCCCATTTTCACCTCGTTTTCCCCTCATTTCTCCCCATTTTTCCCCATTTTCACGTCGTTTTCCCCTCATTTCTCCCCATTTTCCCCCATTTCTCCTCAGGGCTCCCGGGCACGTCATGAGGCACAGGCCCTGGTGCAGGCCCAGGCCTAGGCCGCTATGCCCTGAAGGCCACACAGCCCTTTCCTGTTCCTCCATTTTCACCTCATTTCTCCCCATTTTTCCCCATTTTCACCTCGTTTTCCCTTCATTTCTCCCCATTTTTCCCATTTTCACCTCGTTTTCCCCTCATTTCTCCCCATTTTCCCCCATTTCTCCTCAGGGCTCCGGGCACGTCATGAGGCACAGGCCCAGGTGCAGGCCCAGGCCTAGGCCGCTATGCCCTGAAGGCCGCACTGGCCCTTTCCTGTTCTTCCATTTTCACCTCATTTCCCCCCATTTTTCCCCCATTTGTCCCCATTTTCCCCACATTTCCCCCCTTTTTCCCCTCAGATGTCCCGTGCGCTGCACGGCGGGAGGCGCTGGTGCAGGCCCAGGCCCAGGCCTAGGCCGCTATGCCCTGAAGGCCTCACGGCCCTTTCCTGTTTCTCCATTTTCGCCGCATTTCTCCCCATTTTTCCCCATTTTCACCTCATTTCTCCCCATTTTCCCCCTCAGGTGTCCCGGGCACGGCGTGAGGCGCAGGCCCAGGTGCAGGTGCAGGCGCAGGTGCTGGAGGCCGCGCGGCGCCTGGCGGCCGTGCCGGGGCTCCCTCCCGAGCAGCGGCGGCGCCGGCAGCGCCTCCAGGCCGAGGCTGCGCAGAGGCTGCGGCAGCTGCGGGCCCAGCTCGGCACCCCCGGGCACGGTCAGGGGGGAAAAGGGACTGGGGGGGATTTGGGGGGATTGGGGAATTGGGGTACAGGGGGATTTGGGGAGGATTTGGGGTACGGGAGGGCGGGGAGAAGAAGGAATTGGGGGTCTTAGAGGGGGAATTGGGGGGAATTGGGGGTGTGGGGGGGTTGGGGGGCAGTGGAATTGGGGGACTGGGGAGGTTTTGGGGAATTAGGGGGTCAGGGGATCAGGGGGCCAAAGGGGAATTGGGGGGACAGAAGGGGGATTGGGGGGGGTTGGGGGGCTGGGAGGAAAAGGGGTCTGGGGGATTTGGGGATTCTTGGAGGCCTGGGGGGAAAAAAAGGGTCTGGGGGTCTTGGGGGTACTGAGGGGGAAAAGGGGTCTGGGGGCTCTTGGGGGTTTTGGGGGTCTTTGGGGCACTGATGATTTTGGGAGGTCTGGGGGGTTTTTGGGGGGTCTGGGGTTTTTTTTGGGGGGTCTGGGGGTTTTTTGGGGGGTCTGGAGGGGCAGGTTTGGGGGTTTGGGGGGGGTCTCCTCAGCTCTGACACATCCCCCCCCCCAGATGAGAACGGGTCCCTGGGTGACCTCCCTGCGCTGGAGAATGGTGAGGGGGAAATGGGGGTACCTGGGGGGGCCACCTGGACACCTGGGGGTGGCTACCTGGATACCTGGGGGGGTCACCTGAGTATTTGGGGGGGTCACCTGGGCACCTTTGTGACCCTGGGGGGGATACCTGGACACCTGGGGGGAGCCACATGAGCCCTTGGGAGGCTGCGGGGACACCTGGGGGGGCACCTGGGCACCTGTGTGACCCTGGGGGGGTCACCTGAGTATTTGGGGGGGCTACCTGGACACCTGGGGGAGGCCACCTGAGCACCTGAGGGGTACCTGAGCACCTGTGTGACCCTGGGGGGGTTCACCTGGACACCAGGGGGGGTCATCTGAGTATTTGGGGGGGCACCTGAGTACCTGAGGGGGTCACCTGAGCACTTGGGGGGGCAACCTGGATACCTGGGGGGGTCACCTGAGTACCTGAGGGGGTCACCTGAGCACTTGGGGGGGGCTACCTGGACACCTGGGAAGTCACCTGGGCACCTGTGTGACCCTGGGGGGGGTACTTGGACACCTGGGGGGGTCACCTGGACCCGCCCCCCCCTCCCCAAATCCTCACCCCCCCCCCCCCTCCCCTCCCCCGGTGTCTCCACAGGTGCCCCGCCCCCCCCCAAGCCCCCCCCCGGTTGGGCCCGGCCGCCCCTCCCCCCCCCGGGGGGGCTCGGGCAGCCCCGAGCGCCGGCCCCTCCCCCCCTGGAGCCCGAGGGCCCCCCCGGGCGCCGCAGCTCGCTGGCCACGCCCGCCAGGTGCGTACCCAAAAAACGCCATTTTTACCCCAAAAACCCCTCTCTTAACCCCCCCAAAATCCCCTTTTTCGCACACAAAAAAATCTCCTTTGAAACCCCCCCAAAAAATCCCGTTTTCCACCCAAAATCCCCATTTTTCCCCCCCAAACTCCCTTATTTCTTCCCCAAAAATCTCAGGGTTTTTTCCCCAAAATCCTGATTTTTTTTCCCCAAATCCCCATTTTTCCCCAAAAATCTCTTTTTTCCCCAAAAAAATTCCCCATTTTCCCCTCAAAATCCTGATTTTTCCACCCAAAATCCCATTTTTTTAAAATTTTCCTCAAATCCTCTTTTTTCTCCCCCAAACTCCCTTATTTCTCCCCTAAAAATCCCAGGGTTTTTTTCCCCTCAAAATCCTGATTTTTTTCCCCAAATCCCCAGTTTTCCCCCCAAACTCCCCAATTTCCCCCTAAAATCTCTTTTCCCCCAAAAAAATTCCCCATTTTTCCCTCAAAACCCCGATTTTTCCACCCAAAATCCCGGGTTTTTTTTTCCCGAAATCCTCGATTTTCCCCCCTCGAACTCCCTGATTCCCCCCCCAAAAATCCCAGGGTTTCTTTCCCCAAAATCCTGATTTTTTTCCCCAAATCCCCATTTTTCCCCCCAAAATCCCCAGTTTCCCCCCAAAAATCTCTTTTCCCCAAAAAAAATTCCCCATTTTCCCCTCAAAACCCCGATTTTTCCACCCAAAACCCTGGGGGTTTTTTATCCCCAAATCCCCGTTTTTCCCCCCCAAACTCCTTGATTTCTTCCCCAAAAATCCCAGGTTTTTTCTCCAAAATCCTGATTTTTTCCCCAAATCCCCATTTTTCCCTTCAAACTCCCCAATTTTCCCAAAATCATGGTTTTTTCCCCTCAAAATCCTGGGTTTTTTCCCCCAAATCCCTGATTTTTCTGAAAATCCCCAAACCCCCTAATTTTTTCCCCAAACCCCCTTTCTTTTCCAAAAAAACCCCCGTTTTTTCCCCCAAAATCCCCCGTTTCCCCAAAAAAAAATCCATTTTCCCCTCGAACTCCCCAATTTTTCCCCAAAAATCTCTTTTTTTCCCCCAAAAAATTCCCCATTTTCCCCTCAAAATCCAGGGTTTTTTTCCCCAAATCCCTGTTTCCCCCCCGCCAAACTCCCTGATTTCCCCCCTAAAAATCCCGGGTTTTTTTTCCCCAAAATCCCGAATTTTCTCCCCCAAATCCCCATTTTCCCCCCAAACTCCCCGATTTCCCCCAAAAATCTCTTTTCCCCCCAAAAAAATTCCCCATTTTTCCCCTCAAAATCCTGATTTTTCCACCCAAAATCCCGGTTTTTTTTTTTTCCCGAAATCCTCGATTTTTCCCCCCTCGAACTCCCTGATTCCCCCCAAAAATCCCGGTTTTTTCCCCCAAAATCCCGGGGTTTTTTTCCCCCAAAATCCTGATTTTTTTCCCCCAAATCGCCGTTTTCCCCCCCAAACTCCCCGATTTTCCCAAAATCCCGGTTTTTTGCCCCGTTTTTCCTCAGCCCGGCGCGGACCCTGCCCGCAGCGCCTCCAGCCTCGAGGGCCGCAGCGTCCCCGCCACGCCCGTGCTGGGCCGGAGCCCCCGCGGGACCCCGCGGGAACGGTGAGGAACGGGAAAATGGGGGGAAAAAAGGGGATTTTGGGAAAAAAAGGGGATTCTGGGAAGAACGGGGATTTTGGGGGGAAAAAACTCGGGGATTTTGAGGGAAAAAAATCGGGGATTTTGGGGAATAAAAAGGGGATTTTTTGGGGGAAAAAATCCCGGGATTTTTGGGGGAAAATAATCGGGGATTTTGGGGGGAAAAAAAGGTGATTTTTGGGGGAAAAATCGGGGATTTTGGGAAAAAACGTGGATTCTGGGAAAAAATCGGGATTTTAAGGGGAAAAAAAGGGGATTTTGGGGGAAAATAATCGGGGATTTTGGGGAAAAAGGGGATTTTTTGGGAAAAAATTGGGGATTTGGGGAAAAAAATCGGGGATTTTTTGGGAAAAAAGGGGATTTTGGAGGGGAAAAAATCGGGATTGGGAAAAATCGGGGATTTTGGGGAAAAAAAAGGGGGATTTTTCAGAAAAAGATCGGGGATTTTGGGGAATAAAGAGGGGATTTGGGGGGGAAAATAGGGGATTTTGGGGGGAAAAATAATTGGGGATTTTTGGGAATAAAGAGGGGATTTTGGGGAAAAAAAGGGCATTTTGGGGGGGGGAAAATTGTAGATTTTGGGGGGAAAAAAGGGATTTTTTGGGGAAAAAAAGGATTTTTTGGGGGAAAAAATCAGGGATTTGGGGGAAAATTGGAAGTGTTTTGGGGAAAAGAAGTAGGGTTTTGAGAAATAAGGGGATTTTGAGGGAAAATTGGGGAGTTTAGGGAAAAATTGTTGGTTTTTTTTTTTTTTGGGGGGGGGAAATAAATGGATTTTTTCGGGTAGGCGAAAAACTTTTTAAAAACTTTTTTTTTTAGTGGGAAATTTTTGAAAAATTTTTTTATATATAATTAATTAATTATATTAATTAAAATTTTCTTTATTTTCTCCCCTCTCCAGCCCCGAAGCCCCCCGGGGTTTGCCCCCCCGGCCCTGGTCCGGCAGCCAAGATTCCCAATTGGGGGGGGGAGGGGGTGGGGGGTCCCCACTCTTCCCATCCCCCCCATCCTCCCACCCCCACCCCCACGCCCACCCCCCCCCTCTCGGCGCCCCCCGCACCCGCCGCAGCAACAGCTCCGAGGCTTTGATCGATTGGGGGGGGGGGCGGCGGCTCCGAGACCCCCCCGGGGCTGCGCGGCGGAGGAGGAGGAGGAGGAGGAGGAGGGGCGGGGGTCTCGGCGGCCCCGCCCCCCCCCAGCGCCGCCGCCGCCCCCTCCTCATTGGAGCAGCGGCGCAGTCAGAAGTGGCTGGCGCTGGAGGGGCTGCGGGATTGGTACCTGCGCCACACCGGGACCCCCCCCCGAAACCCTGGCCCTGCCGCCCCCCCGCCCCCCCCCAGCACCACCGAGCTGGGCCCCCCCCGCGCCGCCGGGACCCCCCCCCCGGCCGCCGCCGCCGCCGCCCCCCCCCCCCCCCAGCCGCGCTGCCGCACTCGCTCAGCTACGCCGGGGCCCTGGCGGCCAGGTACGGGGGGGGGAGGGGCGGCCCGCCATGGTGAGGGGGGGGGAGGGGGGGGGAGGGGTGGGGGGACCCCCCCCCAATAATGTGTTGGACCCCCCCCCAATAATGTGTTGGACCCCCCCCCAATAATGTATTGGACCCCCCCCGCCCGCCGTGTTGGGTGGGAAACCCCGTGGGTGAATGTGCGCCCCCGCCCTGCCCGCCGCCATTTTGGGGATCCCCCGATGTCTGAATGTTCCCTCTCCCCATATTGGGACCCCCCCGATGTCTGAATGTGCCCGCCCCAATTTGGGGATCCCTCGATGTCTGAATGTTCCCTCTCCCCATATTGGGACCCCCCGATGTCTGAATGTTCCCTCTCCCCCATATTGGGACCCCCCCCCATCATTTTTGGGGACCCCCCCCCCCCACCCAGGTCCAGGTCTTCGTCTGCCCATTGGGCAATATCTGAATGTGCCCCCCCAATTTTGGGGATCCCTCGATGTCTGAATGTGCCCCCCCAATTTTGGGAACCCCCCTGGGTTCAGGTGTTCCCCTCCCATTTGGGGGACCCTCCAATATCTGAATGTGCCCCCCCCAATTTTGGGAACCCCCCCCTGGGTCCAGGTGTTCCCTTCCCATTTGGGGACCTCCTCCCATGAATTGGGGACACCGCAATTTTGGGGATCCCCCGATGTCTGAATGTGCCCCCCCAATTTTGGGAACCCCCCCCCCTGGGTCCAGGTGTTCCCTTCCCATTTGGGGACCTCCTCCCATGAATTGGGGACCCCCCCAATTTTGGGGACCCCCCAATATCTGAATGTGCCCTCCCAATTTTGGGAACCCCCGATGTCCAAATGTTCCCTCTTCTTATTTGGGGACCCCCCCATCATTTTTGGGGACCCCCCCGTCCAGATCCAGGTGTCCGTGTCCCCCCCCCCCACCATTTTGGGGGTCTCTCCACCAAAGTCTGAATGTGCCCCCCCCACCCCATTTTGGGGACCCCCCCTCCAGGTCCAGGTGTTCCCCTCCCCTCGAAACCCAAAAATTCGGGGTCTCCCCTCAGTTCCCCCCAAATTTGGGGCTCCCTTCCCCCAATTCCCCCTAAACCTAAACCCCAAACTTTGGGGTCTCCCCTTCCCCAATTCCCCCCCAATTTTGGGGATTCCCCTCCCATTTTCGGGATCTCTCCCCTCCCCCCTTTTTGGGGCTCCCCCCTTTTTTGGGGTCTGTCCCCCCCCAGCCCAAATTTTGGGGTCTCTCCTGTCCCAATCCCCCCCCCAATTTTGGGGTCTCCACCCCTTTTTTAGGCTCTCTCTCCTCTCCCCCCTCTTTCCCCTCTTTTCTCCATTCTGGGTTCGTTTTTTATTGGGGGGAGGGGTCCCCAAAAATGGGCTGGGGGAGGGGCTGGGCAGAATTTGGGGCGGGGGGGGTCATTTTGGGGGGGCCTAACTCTGCTTTCTCTTCTCTTTTCTCTCCTTTTTCCGTTTCTTTTTCTCCTTTTTTTTTTTTTCTCTTTTTTTCTCTTTTTTTTCCCCAATTTCTCCCTTTTCCCCCCCCCACCACCCCCACCCCAAGGGACCCCCCCGGGACCACCCCCCCCTCCCCCTCCCCCAGACCCGCAGCCCCCCGGGACCCTCGTGTGACCCCCCCCACCCCCCCAAAAAAAAAAACCCTGCCCAAGGGGGGGGGGGGTCCCCAGCTTCGTTTTGGGGGTGGGGGAGGGGTCCCAACATCCAGGGTGGGGGTGGGGAGGGGGGTCCCCAAAATCCCGCCCCTCCCCCTCCCTGCTGCTCCTGGCGAGCGGCTCCTTTTGGGGGGGGGGTCCCTGGGGGTGGGGGGGGGTGTTTGGGGGGGGCCCCTGGGGGGGGCAATACAGGACCTGCTGCCAGCGCTGGCTCCGCCCTCCTTTTTTTGGGGGGGATTTCGGCGATTTTGGGGCCACAAAAGCTGAAAAATTTGGGAGGGGGGCTTTGTATGGTTCCTGTGTAATTTGGGGGGGATCTTGGGCGTCTCTAAATAATTTTGGGGGGGTCCTTGGGGTTCCTAAATAATTTGGGGGCGTCCTTGGGGTCCCTGTAGAATTTTGGGGGAGATTTTTGGGAGCCCTAAATATTTTGGGGGGATCTTAGGGGACGCTATAGAATTTTGGGGGAGGGTTTATGGGACCCCTAAATAATTTGGGGTGGGGTCTTCAGAGTCCCTTCAGAAATTTGGGGGAGGTCCTAAATAATTTTGGGGGGTCTTTGTGGCTCCCGTATAATTTGGTGGGGGGTCCATGGGGACACTTTATGGGGGGTCCCCACAGACCCCCCCCGATAAGGTTAAGTCACGCCCACTTCTATGTGGCCACGCCCCTTTGGGCAAACTTTAAAATCTCATTACGAGGCCACGCCCCAACTCGAGACCACGCCCCCCCACTCAAAACCGCGCCCCCTGGCCCCACATCTCCCCAGCGGCGGGCTCAGCCAATCAGCGCCCGGCAGAAGCGGGCGGGCCGCGTTCCTATTGGTCGACCTTGAGCCGCCGCGCTCCTATTGGTCGCGGGGGCGGCGTGTAGGCGGGACGAGGTGCGGCGCGCGGCGGCGGCGGGAGCGGGAGCGGGATCGGCGCGTGAGCGGCTGAGGTGAGCGGGGCCGGGAGCGCGCCGGGGCCGGGGGCTCACCGCGATCCGCGTACCGGGGGAGCGCCGGTGCCGCCCGGCGCGGGGCCGGGGGGCGCGGGGGAGCCGCGGAGAAGCGCGGGGTGCGCGGGGAGGCGGTGCCGCGGCCGCCGTTCTCCGGTCGGGCCTTGCCGGGCCGCGCTCACCGCCGCCCTCCCCTCACGCTCTCCCCCACAGGGGCGCTGTTGCCATGGAGACGAGCGCGCATCCCTATTGGCCGCGCGGGCTGGCGTTGCCGGGTTACGTGGCGGGTGCGCGGCCCGGCTGGCAGTGCGCAGGCGCAGTGGCGGCGGCGGCGGCGGCGCTGTTTGCGCTGGGCTGGGCCCTGGGCGGGACCGGGGGCGGGGCCAAGGGCGGGGCGAAAGGCGTGGCCAAGCGAAGCCCCGCCCGCCGGCTGGTCCTGGGCTGGTTCCTGGTCTGTGCCGGCATCCACGGGGTCCTGGAAGGGTATTTCAGCCTTCGGCACCGGGAGCTGCCCGCCGACACCGGGCTGCTGGCCGACGTCTGTGAGCACCCGCGGGGCGCTGGGCTGGGCGGGGGGCTTTGGGGAGGGGCCCCGAGGGCAGCAGGGGGAACTGGAGGGGCACTGGGTACATGGGGAGGGGTCCCGAGGGCATCTGTGGGGTCTCTCGGGATGTGGGGAGGGGGCCCGAGGGCAGCAGGGGGCACTGGAGGGGCACTGAGCACGTGGGGAGGGGTCTCAGGGGCATCGGGGGGGAATGGAGGTTGCCTGGATATGTGGGGATGGGTCCCAAGGGCATTTATGGGGTCCTTGAGTACGTGGGGAGGGGTCCCTGGGGCATCTGGTGGGTCCCTGGATATGTGGGGAGGCGTCCCTGGGGCATTTGTGGGGTCCCTGGATATGTGGGGACGGGTCCCTGGGGTATATGGGGGTCCCTGAGCAGGTGGGCAGGGGCACAGCCGAGTGCTGGGGGGTCTCCTGACTCCCCTCCCCCCCACCTCACCCGAAGCCCCCTCCCCAAATTGCAGGGAAGGAATACGCCAAGGCCGACAGCCGCTACATGACGTGAGTTGGGGACACTGGGGACAGTGGAGAGGGGGTGGCCGTGTCCCCAATGTCCCCAGCTGACCCCTCCCCCTCCCGCAGGAGTGATGACTTCACGGTTGCCATGGAGACGGTGACAGCCTGGGCCTGGGGTCCCCTGAGCTTCCTCACCTTCCTCGCCCTCCTGCGGCAGCACCCAGCCCGTTACATCCTGCAGCTCGTGGTGTCCCTGGGTACGTGGCACCTGTGTCACCAGTGTCACCTCCCCAGTGTCCCCAGTGTCCCTGTGTCACCTCCCCAGTGTCACCTGTGTCACCGGTGTCACCGTCCCCTCTGCCCCAGGCTGTCCCTGTGCCCCCTTGACCCATCCCTGTCCCCTGACCTGTCCCCAGCCTATCCCTGTCCCCAGCCTGTCCCTGTCGCTGTCCCTGACCTGTCCCAGGCCAGCTGTACGGTGACATCCTGTACTTTGCCCAGGCTGTTCCCATGTCCCCTGTCCCCCAGGCTGTCCCTATCCCCTGTCCGTCACCTGTACTTGTCCCCTGTGTCCCCAGGCCAGCTGTACGGTGATGTGCTGTCCCTCTCTCCATGCTGTCCCCATGTCCCCTAATTGTGTCCCTGTCTGTGTCCCCAGGCTGTCCCTAACCCTGTCCCTATCTGTGTGCCCAGGCCAGCTGTATGGTGACCTCTGCTGTCCATGTCCCTGACCTCTCCCTGTCCCCAGGCTGTCCCTAACTGTGTCCCTGACCTGTCCCTGTCCCCAGGCTGTCCCCATGTCCCCTAACTGTGTCCCTGTCTGTGTCCCCAACCTGTCCCCAGGCTGTCCCCAACTGTGTCCCTCTCTGTCCCCTGTTTCCCCAGGCCAGCTGTACGGTGACATCCTGTACTTTGCCACAGCTGTCCCTGTCCCCAGGCTGTCCCTAACTGTGTCCCTCTCTGTCCCCTGTGTCCCCAGGCCAGCTGTACGGTGACATCCTGTACTTTGCCACGGAGGCGCGGGCGGGCTGGGCTCACAGCGACCCCCACCCCTTTTATTTCTGGGGTTACTTTGTGGGGCTCAACGGGCTCTGGGTGCTCGTGCCCGTCCTGCTCCTGCTGGACGCCGGCCGGGAGCTGGCCCGGGCCCAGCGCGGCCACGGACCGGCCCCGACACAAGGCCCATTGAGGGGGGGGGGAGAGAGACCCCCAGAGACCCCCCCTGGGGCTGAGAGACCCCCCCAGGGCTGTGAGACGCCCCCAGGACCGGCCCTGACACGAGGGACATTGGGGGGGTGGGGGGTGGAGAGACCCCCGGGACCCCCCCATGGACTGAGAGAGACCCCTGGGGGTGAGGGACCCCCCCCAGGACTGGCCCTGACACAATTGAGGGGGGGGAGATCCTCAGGGACCCCCCCCATGGACTGAGGGACACCCCCAAAAACCCCCCTGGGCGGAGGGAGCACCCCCCCCAACCTCAGACCCCCCCCAAGGGAGGGTTCAGCACTGAGAGGGTCCTGGAGGGGAATTTGGGACCCCCCAAAAGCTCAGGGAGAGCAGCTGGAGCCCCTCCAGGTTCTCAGTCTCGTTTTTGGGGGTCCCCCCCTTGTTTTTGGGGGTCTCTCGGCCTCATTTTCGGGGGTACCTCTCTTGTTTTTGGGGTTGTGCCGTGGGAATGTTCCTCGTTCCTGGGGGGGGCGGGGATGGATTTTAATAAAAGAGCTGGAAATGGAGCTCAGGTCTGGTTTTTGGGGGTGTCCTGAAGGGTTTTGGGGGGCCAGTGCTGGCTGATTTGGGGGATTGTGGAGAGTTTTGGGGGGTTCTGAGGGGATTTGGGGAGTACAGGTGGGTTTTGGGGGATTCTGGTGGGTTTTTGGGGGTTCCTGGAGGATCTTGGGGAGGGTCCTGAGGGGTTTTTGAGGGGTTCCTGGTGGTTTTGGGGGGGGGTTCAGACCACGTGGGAGGGCGGGGAAGGGGCGGGGTTTAAGGAAGATTGACAGGTGGTGGGTGGGGTTATAAGAGGGGCGGAGCCGAGGCACCGCCCCTGCCGTGCCTGAGCCAATTGGAAATTAGGTCGCTTGCTGCAGCCAATAGGAGGGCGATGCGGGCGGGGTTAAGGCCCGCACCAATCAGCGCTCGGCATCTCCTCGTTGCTCCCTCCCACCGATGAGTGACGTCCCATCACCCAATCAGCGCTCACGTTTACTCCGAACCGCTCCTTCCCCCTCCGCTAAACCGACACCTCCCCCAGCCAATCACCGCTCCCCTCCCTCCCCCAAACCCAACCAATCACCTCCCTCCCTCCTCGCTTCACCCAATCACCGCTCTCCCCCTCCATCCCCATGGCAACACCCATCCCGCCTCCCCCTCACCGAGGCGCAGACACGAAAGGCGGGACTTCCTCCTCCCTCTCAGCCAATCACAACTCGCCCCCACCTCCCCTGACCAATGGCGCGGCGCGGCGCGGGCGAGGCGGAAGCGCGCGCGGGGTCGGAGGTCGCGGCTGTTGATGTTGACACGGCCCCGGCGGCCGCAGCGCCCGCGGCCCCCTCAGCGCCGGGGGCGCCCCCGAGCCCCGCGGCGCCCCCCAAGCCCCGCGCCGCGCCCGCGCCCCATGCGCGCCCCGCCATGACCATCCTCCCCAAGAAGAAGCCGGTCCCGGCTCCCGACGGTGATGGCGATTCCGGCCCTGACGCGGGGCCCGAGCGCGGAGCGGACGCGGGGCCCGAGCGAGGTCCCGGAGGCGTCGGCGAACCCGGCGGGCCCGGCGTGGGGGGGCCGCGACCTCGCGCCTCGCCGCCGCCGCCTCTGCGGGGCTGGGCCGGGCTGCCCGGAGCCGCCGGGTCTCCTCCTCCCGCGGGGCCCGGCTCCGGTAGCGGCGGTCCCGGTTCTACCGACGGCCCCGCGGCGCTGCTTGGGCTGGAGGCGGCGGCGCTGGGGCTGCCCGAGCCCCGCGGGCCCGGCTGCGGCGGCGGAGCCGGAGGAGGCCCCGGGCACAGCAAACGGCGGCGGCGAGGAGGGGCCGGGCCCAGCGCGGGCCCCGCGGGCTCGGGCCCCGGCGGGATCGGGCTCGGGATGGGGCTGGGACCCCCCGGCTGCGGCAGCCCCGGGCCCGACGAGGCGGGAGGCGGCTACAACAGCGAGGATGAGTACGAGGCGGGCAGGGTGGAGATGGACCCGGCCACCGCCGAGCAGGTGCGGGGACACCGGGGGGACACCGGGGGCATCTGGGGACACTGGGGAGAACCTGGGGGACAGTGAGAGGGAACCAGGGGACATCAGGGGACACTGGGGGGGACACCAGGGACACCGAGGGGGCATCTGGGGACACTGAGGGGCATCGGGGGACACCAGGGGGGACAGTGGGGACACTGGGGAGGACCTGGGGGACAGTGAGAGAGGAGTAAGGGACATCAGGGGACACTGAGGCACAGTGAGGGACACCGGGGGACACTGAGGGGCATCAAGGGGACATTGGAGACAGCACAGGGGCATCTAGGGACACCGGGGGGACATCAGGGACAGTGAGGGGGGACCAGGGGACATCAGGGAGACACTGAGGGGACACCAGGGGACACTTGGGGACACCAGGGGACACTTGGGGACACCAGGGGACACGAGGGGCCTGCCGGGGTTCGGTGTCCCCGCGTTGTCGCGCTGTTGCTCCTCCCCACGCGGGGTTGTTGTTGTTGTCCCCCTTTTTGTCGCCATTTGTCCCCAAATTGTCACCGCTTTGTCTCCCCCATTTTGAGACCCCTCCTTGTCCCCTGAGTTTTCTTGGATCCCCCTTTCCCTGCTGTCCTGGGACCCCTCCCCGCATTTCCCGGTGTCCCCTTTCTGTCCCCACTTGGTGACACCCCTGGAACCTCCCTGTCCCCCAGGACCCCTCAAGTCCCCAAAGGACCCCCCCCAGCCCCAAGGACCCCCCTGAACTCCCCCATTTTCTCCCCTTTGTGACCCCAACCCCTCGTCCCCTGTGGCTCCCTCAGCTCCCCCCATCTTGTGTCCCCCCCAAATGCCCCGGGAGACCCCCGAGGAACCCCCAAATGCCCCGAGGGACCCCCCAGACCCCTGAGGGACCCCCCAATGCCCCGAGGGACCCCCCGAGCCCGGCTGTGTCTCCAGCAGGAGCACCGGTTCGAGAAGGCTCTGCGGGAGAAGAAAGGCTTCATCATCAAACGCATGAAGGAGGACGGGGCCTGCCTGTTCCGGGCCGTGGGTGAGCCCCAAAATCCCTGCAAAATCCCCCCAAAAATCACCCCAAAAAATCCCCCCAAAAATCATCCAAAAAAAGCCCCAAAATAACCCCCAAAAGACCCAAAAATCCCCCAAAATCACCCAAAAAAAACCCCAAAATCCACTGAAATCACACCCAAAATCACCCCAAAAATCCCCCAAAAATCACTCAAAATCACCCAAAAATCCCCCAAAATCACCCCCAAATCACCCCAAAAATCACCCAAAACCCCTCCCATAAGCACTGCCACCCCCCCCCCCCCCCCCCAATTGTCACCTGTGTGTCCCCTCCCGCAGCTGATCAGGTGTACGGAGACCAGGACATGCACGAGGTGGTGAGGAAGCACTGCATGGACTACCTGGTGAGGGACTGGGATGGACTGGGAGGGGACTGGGAGGGATTGGGGGGGGACTGGGATGGACTGGGATGGGCTGGGAGGGACTGGGAGGGATTGGGGGGGGGACTGGGAAGGGACTGGGATGGGCTGGGAGGGACTGGGAGGGATTGGGGGGGGACTGGGATGGACTGGGATGGGCTGGGGGGTGCTCAGAAGCCTGGGGGGGACGAGGCTGCTGTTCCCTCCTCCCTCCTGCAGTGTCCCCAGTGCTCCCCCAGTGTGTCCCCGCTGTCCCTGTGGTTCTGTGTCCCTCCCCAGCGCTGTCCCCAGCCTGTCCCCAGCCTGTCCCCTGTGTCCCCACCACGTCCCCCGTGTGTCCCCAGATGAAGAACGCCGATTATTTCTCCAATTACGTCACGGAGGATTTCACCACCTACATCAACCGCAAGCGCAAGAGCACCTGCCACGGGAACCACATCGAGATGCAGGCCATGGCCGAGATGTACAACCGGCCCGTGGAGGTCTACCAGTATGGCACTGGTGAGACTGGGAGCGCCGGGGAGGGGGCCCATGGGTGCTGGGGTTATTGGGGAGGGGTCCCATGGGCGCTGGGAGCTCTGGGGAGGAGCTGGGATCAATGGGGAGGGGTCCCTGAAGAACTGGGATCAATGGGGAGCGGTCCCACGGGCACTGGGGTTATTGGGGAGGGGGCCCATGGGTGCTGAGGTTATTGGGTAGGGGTCCCTGAGGAACTGAGATCAATGGGGAGGGGTCCCTGAGGAGCCATGGGGGACCCAGAGTGATGGGGAGCACTGGGGAAGGGTCCCTGAGGAACTGGGATCAATGGGGAGGGGTCCCTGAGGAGCTGGGATCAATGGGGAGGGGGTCCCATGGGTGCTGGGGTTATTGGGGAGGGGTCCCATGGGCACTGGGGTTATTGGGGAGGGGGTCCCTGAGGAACTGGGAGCTGTGGGGAGGGGGTCCCATGGGTGCTGGTGTTATTGGGGAGGGGTCCCTGAGGAACTGGGATCAATGGGGAGGGGTCCCATGGGCACTGGGAGCACTGGGGAGGAACTGGGATCAATGGGGAGGGGTCCCTGAAGAACTGGGATCAATGAGGAGGGGTCCCACGGGCACTGGGGTTATTGGGGAGGGGTCCCTGAGGAGCCATGGGGGACCCAGAGTGAAGGGGAACTGTGGGGAGAGGTCCCTGAGGAACTGGGATCAATGGGGAGGGGTCCCTGAAGAAGTGGGGTTATTGAGGAGGGGTCCTTGAGGAACTGGGAGCACTGGGGAGGGGTCCCTGAGGAACTGGGAGCTGTGGGGAGGGGTCCCACAGGCACTGGGGTTATTGGGGAGGGGGTCCCATGGGTGCTGAGGTTATTGGGGAGGGGTCCCTGAGGAGCCATGGGGGGACCCAGAGTGATGGGGATCAATGGGGAGGGGTCCCTGAGGCACTGGGAGCACTGGGGAGGGGTCGCACAGGCACTGGGGTTATTGGGAAGGGGTCCCCTGAGCAACTGGGAGCACTGGGGAGGGGTCCAAGGTGCCATTCTGGAGGTCCCAGCTGGTTTTTGGGGTGTCCCAGGTGCTGTTTTGGGGTCTCAGGTGGATTTTTTGGGAATCCCATCTGGATTTTTTGGATCCTATCTGGATTTTCGGGGGTCCCAGGCAGTTTTTTTGGGATCCCAGCTGTTTTTCCAAGGATTTCATCTGGATTTTTGCGGTGCCATGTGTTATTTTAGGGCCCCACGTGTATTTTGGGGTCCCATCTGAATTTTGGATCCCATCTCTATTTTGAGATCCCATCTGTATTTTTGGGGCCCCATCTGTATTTTTGGGGTGCAATCTGAATTTTAGATCCCATCTGTATTTTGGGGTCCCATCTGTATTTTGGATCCTATGTGTATTTTGAGATCCCATCTGTATTTTTGGATCCCATCTGAATTTTGGGGTCCCATCTGTATATTTGGGGACCCATCTGTAATTTAGATCTCATCTGTATTTTTGGGGTGCCATCTCTATTTTGAGATCCCATCTGTATTTTTTGGGGTCCCATCTGCATTTTTTGGGGTCCCATCTGGTTTTTGTGAATCCCCACTTGAATTTCTGGGGATCCTATCCGGATTTTCGGGGTTCCCGGGCAGTTTTTTTAGGATCCCAGCTGTTTTTCCAAGGCTCTCACCCGTATTTTTTTGGGGTGCTGTGTCATTTTTGGGGTGCCCCAGAGCCCATCAACACCTTCCACGGGATCCAGCACAACGAGGACGAGCCCATCCGGGTCAGCTACCACCGCAACATCCACTACAACTCCGTGGTGAACCCCAACAAGGCCACCATCGGCGTGGGGCTGGGGCTGCCCTCCTTCAAACCGGGGGTACGCACAGGGGGACCCCCAATTTGGGGTCTGGGGGCCTTGATTTTGGGGGGTGGGATCCCAAATTTGGGGTCTGGAGGCCTTGATTTGGGGGGTGGGACCCCCAATTTGGGGTCTGGGGACTGTCCCTGAGTCCCTCATTCCATCCCTGAGCCCCCTTTCCGTGGGGCTGGGGCTGCCCTCCTTCAAACTGGGGGTATGGGACAAGGGGACCCCCCACTTTGGGGTCTGGGGGTGTCAGATTTGGGTGGGTGGGATCCCCACTTTGGGGTCTGGAGGCCTTGATTTGGGGGGTGGGACCCCCCATTTGGGGTCTGGGGGGCCTTGATTTGGGGGGTGGGACCCCCAATTTTGGGGTTTGGAGGCCTTGATTTGGGGGGTGGGACCCCCAGTTTGGGGTCTGGGGGCCTTGATTTGGGGTGGGTGGGACCATCCCTGAGCCCCCTTTCCATGGGGCTGGGACCCCTGCATGTCCCACGGTGTCCCTGGTGTCCCCACAGTGTCCCCTGTCTGTCCCTGGTGTCCCCTCAATGTCCCCTTGTGTCCCCAGTGTCTCCAATGTCCCGGTGTCCCCATTGTCCCCTCATGTCCCCCAGGTGTCCCAATATCCCCAATGTCCCCCATGTTCCCAGTATCTCCCGTGTCCCTCGCGTCCTGGGTGTGCCCAAGGTCCCTGCTGTCCCCTCACATCCCCGGTGTCCCCTCACGTCCCCGCTGTCCCTGGTGTCCCCGCTGTCCCCTCACGTCCCCGCTGTCCCCTCATGTCCCCGCTGTCCCCTCACATCCCTGGTGTCCCCGCTATCCCCGTGTCCCCTCACGTCCCTGCTGTCCCCTCTGTCCCCGCTGTCCCCTCACGTCCCCGCTGTCCCCGTGTCCCCTCACGTCCCTGGTGTCCCCAATGTCCCCGCTGTCCCCTCACGTCCCCGCTGTCCCCGTGTCCCCTCATGTCCCCGTGTCCCCTCACGTCCCCGTGTCCCCTCACATCCCCTCATGTCCCCGCTGTCCCCGCTGCCCCCTCACATCCCCGGTGTCCCCTCACGTCCCCGGTGTCCCCTCACGTCCCCGCTGTCCCCAGTGTCCCCTCATGTCCCCGCTGTCCCCTCACATCCCCGTGTCCCCTCACGTCCCCACTGTCCCCTCACGTCCCTGCTGTCCCCGGTGTCCCCCTCACATCCCCGCTGTCCCGTCACGTCCCCGCTGTCCCCGCTGTCCCCGTGTCCCCTCACGTCCCCGCTGTCCCCTCACATCCCTGGTGTCCCCGCTGTCCCCAGTGTCCCCTCACGTCCCCTCTGTCCCCGCTGTCCCCTCACATCCCCGCTGTCCCCTCACGTGCCCGTGTCCCCAGCTGGCGGAGCAGTCTCTGATGAAGAGCGCCATCAAGACGTCGGAGGAGTCGTGGATCGAGCAGCAGATGCTGGAGGACAAGAAGCGCGCCACCGACTGGGAGGCCACCAACGAGGCCATCGAGGAGCAGGTGGCCCGCGAGTCCTACCTGCAGTGGCTGCGCGACCAGGAGAAGCAGGCGCGGCAGGTGGGGACAGCGCTGACGTGGCACCGGCCCTGTCACCGTCAGTGTCACCGTCCGTGTCCCTGTGGGCCCCTGGTGTCACCATCGGTGTCACCGTCCGTGTCCCTGTGGGCCCCTGGTGTCACCGTCCCTGTCACCGTCCCTGTCACCGTCCCTGTCACCATCCGTGTCCCTGTGGGCCCCTGGTGTCACTGTCAGTGTCACCGTCCCTGTCCCTGTGGGCCCCTGGTGTCACCATCGGTGTCACCGTCCCTGTCACCATCCATGTCCCTGTGAGCCCCTGGTGTCGCTATTGGTGTCACCATCGGTGTCCCTGTGAGCCCCTGGTGTCACCGTCCCTGTCACCATCCGTGTCCCTGGTGTCACCATCCATGTCACCATCCATGTTCCTATGGGTCCCTGGTGTCACCATCCCTGTCACCATCGGTGTCCCTGTGAGCCCCTGGTGTCACCGTCCCTGTCACCATCCATGTCCCTGGTGTCATCATCCATGTCACCATCGGTGTCCCTGTGAGCCCCTGGTGTCACCATCCCTGTCACCGTCCCTGTCACCATCCATGTCCCTGTGAGCCCCTAGTGGTCACCTGATGGTCACCATCAGTGTCACCATCAGTGTCCCTGGTGTCACCATCCCTGTCACCATCCATGTCCCTGTGGGCCCCTGGTGTCACCATCGGTGTCACCATCAGTGTCCCTGGTGTCACCATCAGTGTCACCATGGGTGTCACCATCCCTGTCACATTGGTGTCAGCGTCCTTGTCATTGTCCCTGTCACCGTCCCTGTCACCATTGGTGTCACCATCCCATCCCTTCACCATCGTTGTCACCATCAGTGTCCCTGGTGTCACCGTCCGTGTCACCATCCATGTCCCTGCCATCCCCTTGTGTCACCATCCGTGTCACCGCCTGTGTCACCACTGGTGTCCCTGTGAGCCCCTGGTGTCACCATCAGTGTCACCATCCGTGGTGTCACTGCCCGTGTCACCATCGGTGTCCCTGCTACCCCCTCGTGTCACCATCCATGTCCCTGGGTGCCCCTGGTGTCACCATTAGGTGTCCCTGCCCTCCCTTGGTGTCCCCATTGCTGTGCCAGCGGCCTGGAGGAGTGGAGTGGACGCTGAGCCCTGTGGTGACTCTGTGGTCACTCTGTGGTCACTCTGTGGTCACTGTGGTCATTGTGGTCACTCTATGGTCACTCTGGTCACTCTATGGTCACTGTGGTCACTCTGTGGTCACTCTATGGTCACTCTGGTCACTCTGTGTCCCCACAGCCGCGCAAGGCCAGCGCCACGTGCAGCTCAGCCACGGCGGCGGCCGCCTCTGGCCTGGAGGAGTGGAGCGGCCGCTGACCCCTATGGTCACACTGTGGTCACTCTATGGTCACTGTGGTCACTGTGGTCACTCTATGGTCACTCTGGTCACTCTATGGTCACTGTGGTCACTCTATGGTCACTCTATGGTCACTCTGGTCACTCTGTGTCCCCACAGCCGCGCAAGGCCAGCGCCACGTGCAGCTCGGCCACAGCAGTGGCCGCCTCTGGCCTGGAGGAGTGGAGCGGCCGCTGACCCCTGTGGTCACTCTGTGGTCACTCTATGGTCACTCTGGTCACTCTATGGTCACTGTGGTCACTCTGTGGTCACTGTGGTCACTCTCTGTGTCCCCACAGCCACGCAAGGCCAGCGCCACGTGCAGCTCGGCCACGGCAGCGGCCGCCTCTGGCCTGGAGGAGTGGAGCGGCCACTGACCCCTGTGGTCACTCTGGTCACTCTATGGTCACTCTGATCACTCTATGGTCACTGTGGTCACTCTGTGGTCACTCTGTGGTCACTGTGGTCACTGTGGTCACTCTATGGTCACTCTGGTCACTCTGTGTCCCCACAGCCGCGCAAGGCCAGCGCCACGTGCAGCTCGGCCACAGCAGCGGCCCACCTCTGGCCTGGAGGAGTGGAGCGGCCACTGACCCCTATGGTCACTCTATGGTCACTCTGGTCACTCTGTGGTCACTCTGTGGTCACTCTCTGGTCACTCTGATCACTCTATGGTCACTGTGGTCACTCTGTGGTCACTCTATGGTCACTGTGGTCACTCTGTGGTCACTGTGGTCACTCTCTGTGTCCCCACAGCCACGCAAGGCCAGCGCCACGTGCAGCTCGGCCACGGCAGCGGCCGCCTCTGGCCTGGAGGAGTGGAGCGGCCGCTGACCCCTATGGTCACTCTGGTCACTCTATGGTCACTCTATGGTCACTGTGGTCACTCTGTGGTCACTCTGTGGTCACTCTGGTCACTCTGTGTCCCCACAGCCGCGCAAGGCCAGCGCCACGTGCAGCTCGGCCACGGCAGCGGCCGCCTCTGGCCTGGAGGAGTGGAGCGGCCGCTGACCCCTATGGTCACTCTGTGGTCACTCTATGGTCACTGTGGTCACTCTATGGTCACTGTGGTCACTCTCTGTGTCCCCACAGCCGCGCAAGGCCAGCGCCACGTGCAGCTCGGCCACGGCGGCGGCCGCCTCTGGCCTGGAGGAGTGGAGCGGCCGCTGACCCCTATGGTCACACTGTGGTCACTCTATGGTCACTGTGGTCACTCTATGGTCACTCTATGGTCACTGTGGTCACTCTGTGGTCACTCTGTGGTCACTCTGGTCACTCTGTGTCCCCACAGCCGCGCAAGGCCAGCGCCACGTGCAGCTCGGCCACGGGCAGCGGCCGCCTCTGGCCTGGAGGAGTGGAGCGGCCCGCTCGCCCCGGCCCCGCAGCGCCGCCCCCTCCCCCGAGCACCCCGGGCTGCACCCCGAGACCCCCGGCCCCAAACCCCCCTCGCCCGGAGCCCCCCCCGCCGGAAAACCCCCCTCGCCCTGCGCCCCAGGTGGGACTGGGGGCAAACCGGGGCAAACTGGGGGGGCTGGGAGCACAAACTGGGGCAAACTGGGGGGGCTGGGAGCACAAACTGGGGGGGCTGGGAGCACAAACTGGGGCAAACTGGGAGCACAAACTGGGGGGACTGGGAGCACAAACTGGGGCAAACTGGGGGAACTGGGAGCCCAAACTGGGGAGACTGGGAGCACAAACTGGGGCAAACTGGGGCACACTGGGGCAAACTGGGAGCACAAACTGGGGCAAACTGGGAACACAAACTGGGGGCAAACTGGGGCAAACTGGGAGCACAAACTGGGGGCAAACTGGGGAACCACACTGGGGGGGCTGGGAGCACAAACTGGGGAGACTGGGAGCCTAAACTGGGGGCACTGGGGAACCACACTGGGGGCACTGGGAGCCTAAACTGGGGGCAAACTGGGGAACCACACTGGGGGGGGCTGGGGAGCACAAACTGGGGAGACTGGGAGCCCTAACTGGGGTCAAACTGGGGCAGCCAGCTGGGGGTGGGGGGATTTGGGGGCAGGGGGATTTAGGGATTTGGGGGTTTTGAGGGATCCCTGACCCCAATTTGGGGTTTTTGGGGGGTCCCTGACCCTGCTTCCCCCCCCAGGGACCAGCAGCCAGCTGGGGGCGGGGGGATTTGGAGGCGCCCATATTTGGGTTTTTGGGGGGGTCTCTAACCACATATTTGGTTTTTTTGGGGTTTTTGGGGGGTCCCTGACCCCAAATGCCCTCCCAGGGACCAGCAGCCAGCTGGGGGTTGGGGGATTTGGGGGGCCCATATTTGGGTTTTTGGGGGTCTCTAACCCCAATTTTGGGGGTTTTGAGGGATCCCTGACCCCATATTTGGGTTTTTTGGGGTTTTTGGGGGGGTCCCTAACCCCAAATGCCCCCCCAGGGACCAGCAGCCAGCTGGGGGCGGGGGGGATTGGGGGGCCCATATTTGGGTTTTTCGGGGGTCCCTGACCCCAGTTTGGGGTTTTTGGGGGGTCCCTAACCCCAAGTGCCCCCCCCAGGGACCAGCAGCCAGCTGGGGGTGGGGGGATTTGGGGTTTTGGGGTTCTTGGGGGATCCTTGACTGCATATTTGGGGTTTTGGGATTTCTGGGGGTCTCTAACCCCGTATTTGGGTTTTTGGGGTTTTCGGGGGGGATCCCTAACCCCAAATGCTCCCACCCCCCCCCAGGGACCAGCAGCCAGCTGGGGGTGGGGGGATTTGGGGTTTTGGGGTTTCTGGGGGATCCCTGACCCCAATTTGGATTTTTTGGGGGGGTCCCTGACCCCATATTTGGGTTTTGGGGGGTCCCTGACCCTGCTCCCCCCCCCCCCAGGGACCAGCAGCCAGCTGGGGGCGGGGGGATTTGGGGGGCCCCATATTTGGATTTTTGGGGGATCCCTGACCCCAATTTTGGGGTTTTTGGGGGGTCCCTAACCCCAAATGCCCCCCCAGGGACCAGCAGCCAGCTGGGGGCGGGGGGGATTTGGAGGGGTCCATATTTGGGTTTTTGGGGTTTTTGGGGGGTCCCTAACCCCAAATGCCCCCCCAGGGACCAGCAGCCAGCTGGGGGCGGGGGGCGGCCGGGCCACGCCCCCGCTGGTGTCGCTGTACCCCGCGCTCGAGTGCCGCGCCATCATGCAAGCAAATGTCCCCGACCGCCTTCGGGTGAGCGACGCAGCCGCGGTTTGGGGGGATTTGGGGCGTTTTGGGGGATTTTGGGGCATTTTTGGGTTGTTTTGGGGGGATTTTGGGTTGGTTTGGGGGGTTTTAGGGTTGGTTTTGGGGGGTTGCGGGCTGTTTTGGGGGTGTTTTAGGGGATTTTGGGGTGTTTTAGGGGGATTTTGGGTTGGTTTTGGTGGGATTTTGGGTTGGTTTGGGTGGATTTTAGGTTGTTTTGAGGGGGATTTTGGGGCATTTGAGGAGATTTAGGGGCGTTTGGGGGGATTTAGGGGCGTTTGGGGGGGAATTTAGGGGCGTTTGGGGGGGAATTTAGGGGCGTTTGGGGGGCATTTGGGTTGGTTTTGAGGGGGGGTTTGGGGCATTTTTGGGTTGTTTTGAGGGGATTTTGGGGTTGGTTTTGGGGGGTTGCGGGCTGTTTTGGGGGTGTTTTAGGGGATTTTGGGTTGTTTTGAGGGGGATTTTGGGGCGTTTTGGGGGGATTTAGGGGCGTTTGGGGGATTTTGGGTTGGTTTTGGTGGATTTCGGGTTGTTTTGAGGGGGATTTTGGGGTGTATTAGGGGGAGTTTGGGTTGGTTTTGGATTGTTTTTGGTGGATTCTGGGTTTTGAGGGGGGTTTTGGGGCGTTGTTGGGTTGGTTTTGGTGGATTTGGGGTTGGTTTTGGGGGTATTTCGAGTTGTTTTGGGGGATTTAGGGTTGTTTTATGGTTGTTTTGGGGCGGTTTTGGGGTGTTTTATGGTTGTTTTGGGGGTGATTTAGGGTTGTTTTGGGGGTTTATAATAATTTGAGAATATTTAGGGTCATTTTGGGGAACTTCGGATCATTTTGGAGGCTCAGCATGCAGCTTAGGGCAGGAACTTTTACTCCTGGGCTCATTTAATGAAAATTTTGGGTTTCCTACAACTGAGGGGTGTCCAACAATTGGGAAGTGTCCAACTCCATTCTGGGGTGGATTTCTCCTTTTTTTTTCCCAATTTTAGAGCCCAAATTCATCCCGATTTCAACACCCGGGCTGCATCCACAGCTTCCAAATTTTTTTCCCCCAAACCCCAACCATCTCCCGCACCCCAAATTGAAATTTTGGCTCGTTTAGGAGGTTTAGGGTCGTTTTGAGGGTGATTTAGGGTCATTTTAGTGGGGTTTAAGATCATTTTGGGAGTGATTTAGGGTCGTTTGGGGGTCTCTAATAATTTGAGAATATTTAGGGTCATTTTGATGGGGTTTAAGGTCATTTTGGGGAACTTAGGATCATTTTGGAGGCTCGGCATGAAGTTTAGGGCAGGAACTTTTACTCCTGGGCTCATGTAATGAAAATTTTGGGTTTCCTGCAGCTGAAGGGTGTCCAACTCCATTCTGGGGTGGATTTCTCCTTTTTTTACCCAACTTTGGAGCCCAAATTCACCCCGATTTCAATACCCGGGCTCCATCCACAGCTTCCAAATTATTTTCCCCCAAACCCCCAACCATCTCCAAATTGAAATTTTTAATTTTTTTGGGGGGTTTTTCCCCCCCTCCCTCCCCAGGCCTGAACGACTGGGAGGACGACGAGATCCTGGCGTCGGTGCTGGCGGTGTCGCAGCAGGAGTACCTGGAGACCATGAAAACCTCGCGCCACAGAGACCCCGCCGCCGACAAGAGTTGATATTGAACCCCCGGACTGCGACCCCCCCCGCCCCCAAAAAACACCCCCAAAACACCCCCAAAACCCCCCCCCAAGAGAGACCCTCCGGACCCCCCACCCTCCTCCCCCTCCCACCCAAAAAACAAAAAAAAAAACCAACAACCAAAAAAAAAAAAAACAAAAAAAGGCGAAAAAACCAAGGCTGACCCCGACCCCCCCCCCCCTCCCCAATTCCCACTCCCCCCTCCCCAAAAAAAAAACCCCCCAAGGGACTCTCGGTGCGGGGCTGGGGGGGCTCTGAGTTTGGGGGTGACACAAAAAAAACCCCCCCAGCAAAAATGGGGGAGGGGGACACAGCGCTGGACGCCGCGGATGAACCTCGGCTGATTTTTTGTTGGGGGGGGGGGAAGAGAAGATGATGATGAAGATGAAGATGGAGAAGACCCCTCCTCAAAATGACTGGGGGAATGCTGGGGGAGGGGCTGGTATTTTTTTTTTTTTCTAGGGTCTCCTCTTTCTTCCCATCCCTCCCCCTACTCCCCCTCCCCCCAAACCACCGTGGGATTTTGCTGTTTTGGGGGATGGGAAAGGGGGGGCGGGGGGGCAAAAAAGGGGGCGGGGGGAGGGGGTCCTCACTCTGCCCCTCCCCCCTCTCCTGAATATCAGCACCTGGGGGGGGGGGGGGGGAGGGGGGGGAAGGGGGTCCGGGGGTGCTGCCCCCCCACATCCCCCGCACCCCGGTATTAAACTCATGCCCAGCAGCCCCCTGGCCCCGTCTGTTCGTGGGGGGCTCGGCCCCCTCGCCCACCCCCCCGGACAGGCACTGGGGGGGTCCCCAGGCCCTTAGGGGTCCCTGGAAAAAGGAAAGGGGGGGGTGTGGATTTGCGTTTTTTTGGGGGTCTCGCCGCGATTTTGGGGATCCCGGGCCTGGTTTTGGGGACTTCCGTGTTTACTCCGCGGTTGCCATGGTGATGCGTCGCGCTCGGATGACGCGGTGGTGGCGGCAGCCAATCAGCGGTGAGGGCGGGAATGAGAGGGTGGCGTCACTTTGGGCGCGCCGGGACCGCAGCGCTGCCTGACCCAAGCGATATCCGGGGGGTTTGAGGGCTGTCGGGGCTCTGCGGGTGCTGTCGCGATACAGAAAATATCGGGGGAGGTTGGGTCTCGTTATATCGCGACAAATCGGCGCGGGACCGCCAGGCGGCGTCGCGCTAGGCCGCGTTTCCATGGCGACAATGGGGCGTGGTTCGAGGCGTGGCCAGCACCTCATGGCGGCTTCTCATTGGTCGGTGGGCGGAGCTTGTGTAGTTGCCCCGCCCCTTTCCCCGGCCGCCAGGGGGCGCCACGCGCGGAGCGGGGGCGAGCGCGGGGAATGGAGCTGCGCGGGGGGCCCGGTGAGGGGCTGGGGTCTGAGGGGGAAAATGGGATTTGTGAGGGGAAAAATGGAGTTTGTGAGGGGAAAATGGATCTGAGAGGGGGAAAATGGGGTTTGTGAGGGGGAAAATGGAGTTTTGTGAGGGGAAAGTGGGGTTTGTGAGGGGAAAATGGGATCTGAGAGGGGGAAAATGGGGTTTGTGAGGGGAAAAATGGGGTCTGAGAGGGGATAAATGGGGTTTGTGAGGGGGGAAAATGGGATCTGAGAGGGGGAAAATGGGGGTTGTGAGTGGGGAAATGGGATTTGTGAGGGGGAAAATGGGGTTTGTGAGGGGTGTTCTGAGGGGAAAATGGGGTTTGTGAGTGGGGAAATGGGATTTGTGAGGGAAAATGGGGTTTGTGAGGGGTGTTCTGAGAGGAAAATGGGATTTGAGAAGGGAAAATGGGGATCCTGGGGGGGATCCTGAGGGGAAAATGGGGTCCCTCAGGAGGGGGGGAGGGGGAGCGTGAGGAGGGTCCTGAGCATTTGGGGGAGGCACGAGGGGAAAATGGGGGTCCCCTATGATGGGAGGGGGAGTGTGAGGGGAAAATGGGGGTCCCTCAGGGGAAATTGGAGCCCTGAGGATTTTTGGGGGATTCTGGGGGTCCCTGAGGGCACATTTGAGAGTTGGGGGACGGTGGATTTTGGGGCTGGGGGCACACGGTGGATTTTGGGGTGGGACACAAGGGGGTCTGTGATACTGTGCCCCCCCCCCCCCCCACATCCCCGTGACCCCCAAATCCCCTCCTCAGATCACGTCAGGAGAAGGAGAAAACGCAAAAAGGACAAAAAACCCAAAGCACCCCCAAGGTGAGGGGGGGGGGGTCAGCGGGGGCCACGACCCTTACCCAGAATGGGGAGGGGGACACACACACACGAGCAGAGCCCCCCCTTTTTAGGGGATGGGGGGGGACATTCCGAGCTGCCCCTCCCCCTCCAGGGCTATTTTTAGCCCCGCGGGGCCGGGGGCCCTTGAGGTCATTTCTATTTTGGGGGGGTGATGGCCCAGAATGCCCCGCACCTGCCCCCCCCCCCCACAGCTCGGGGGGGCCTCTGGGGCCTCCCAGCGCTCCCCTGGGACCATTCCCGGCTCCTTTGGTGCTGTGGGACCACCCTGGGATCCCTCCCAAGCATGGGGGAGACCCCCGAAGGGACCAGGTATGGGGGGGGCAGAGAGGAGACCCCCGAAGGGAGCAGATTTTGGGGAGGGGGTGGTAGAGACCCCCAAAGGGAGCAGATTTTGGGGAGGGGGGAGGCAGAGAGGAGACCCCTGAACGGAGCAGATTTTGGGGAGAGGGAGGCAGAGAAGAGACCCCCAAAGGGAGCAGATTTTGGGGAGGGGGGGGTAGAGAGGAGACCCCTAAAAGTTCCAGATTTTGGTGAGGGGGGGCGCAAAGAGGAGACCCCTGAAGGTTCCAGATTTTGGGGAGGGGTTGGCAGAGAAGAGACCCCCAAAGGGAGCAGGTTTTGGGGAGGAGGGGGGCAGAGAGGAAACCCCTAAAAGTTCCAGAGGAGACCCCCGAAGGTTCCAGATTTTGGGGAGGGGGTGACAGAGAAGAGGACCCCCGAAGGGAGCAGATTTTGGGGAGGGGGAGGCAGAGAGGAGACCCCTGAAGGGAGCAGATTTTGGGGAGGGGGTGGTAGAGAAGAGACCCCTAAAAGTTCCAGATTTTGGTGAAGGGGGGTGGCAGAGAGGAGACCCCCAAAGGGAGCAGATTTTGGGGAGGGGGTGGTAGAGAGGAGGACCCCTGAAAGTTCCAGAGGAGACCCCCGAAGGTTCCAGATTTTGGGGAGGGGGTGGCAGAGAGGAGACCCCTGAAAGTTCCAGATTTTGGTGAGGGAGGGCAGAGAGGAGACCCCCGAAGGTTCCAGAGGAGACCCCCGAAGGTTCCAGAGGAGACCCCCGAAGGTTCCAGATTTTTGGGAGGGGGTGGCAGAGAGGAGACCCCTGAAAGTTCGAGAGGAGACCCCCGAAGGTTCCAGATTTTGGGGAGGGGTCCCAAAGTCGGGCTGTGCTGGGCGCCGGGGGTCTCTGGCCCGGCCATGGGGGGGGGTCTCAGCTTTGCTGTCCCCCCCCCCACCCCTCAGGACCCCCAGCCCCCCCGGCGAGGCGTCCCCCAGACCCCCCCCCGGCGCCGCCATCGCTGCCCGAGTCCCTGCTGGGCTCCGACGAGGGCGAGCAGGAGGATCCCCGCGATTACTGCAAAGGTGGGGACACCCCCGCTCCTTTCGGGGCTGTTCTGGGGGGGGGTCCCCGAAGCCCAGAGTGACAATTCCGCCCCCTCCCCAGGCGGGTATTACCCGGTTCGGATCGGGGACCTTTTCCACGGGCGCTACCACGTGGTTCGCAAGCTGGGCTGGGGCCATTTCTCCACCGTGTGGCTCTGCTGGGACCTGCGGTGAGTGCGGGACACCCTGAGGGTGGGTGTGTGTGGGGGGGTTCAGGGTTTTGGGGGGGCTCCCCTGGAATTTTATTTTATTTTTTTTTGGGGGGTAACGGCCGGGGGTTCCCCCCTTTGCTTTCCTTTGGGCAGGAGGAAACGCTTCGTGGCGCTGAAGGTGGTGAAAAGCGCCCCCCCAATACACGGAGACGGCTCTGGATGAGATCAAACTGCTGAAATGTGTGAGTGCCCCCGGCCCCCCCAAAAACCAGGGACCCCCAAACCCCCCAAAATCCACCGCGTGACCCCCCCCAAACCTCCTCAGGTGCGGGATTCGGACCCCAGCGACCCCAAGCGGGAGAACATCGTGCAGCTCATCGATGACTTCAAGATTTCGGGCGTCAACGGCGTCCGTATCCTTTTTTGGGGGGGTCGGGGCGGGTACCCCGAGTTTTTTTTTTTGGGGGGGGGTTGGGGAAGGTCCCAGGGTTTTTCTGGGGGTTCCTTGACTGCCCCCGCCCCCCCTGCCCCCCAAGATGTTTGCATGGTGCTGGAGGTGCTGGGGCAGCAGCTGCTGCGCTGGATCATCAAATCCAACTACCAGGGGCTGCCCCTGCCCTGCGTCAAGAGCATCGTGCGGCAGGTACGGGGGGACCCCAAAGCCCTCCCTGGGGCTTTACAGAGACCCCCAAATCCCCCCAAACCCCCTCCCTGGGGCTTCACAGAGACCCCCAAATCCCCCCAAACCCTTCCCTGGGGCTTTACAGAGACCCCCAAATCCCCCCAAAGCCCTCCCTGGGGCTTCACAGAGAGCCCCAAATCCCCCCCAGACCCCTCCCTGGGGCTTCACAGAGAGCCCCAAAATCCCCCCAAACCCCTCCCTGGGGCTTCACAGAGACCCCCAGATCCCCCCAGAGCCCCCAGACCCCCCCAAAGCCCTCCCTGGGGCTTCACAGAGAGCCCCAAATTCCCCCAGAGCCCTCCCTGGGGCTTCACAGAGACCCCCCAAACCCCCCAAAACCCCTCCTGGGGCTTCACAGAGAGCCCCAAATCCTCCCAGAGCCCCCCAAATCCCCATAAATCCTCCCAAAGCCCTCCCTGGGGCTTCACAGAGCCCCCAAATCCCCCCAAAGCCCTCCCTGGGGCTTCACAGAGACCCCCAAATCCCCCCAAAGCCCTCCCTGGGGCTTCACAGAGAGCCCCAAATTCCCACAGAGCCCCCAGACCCCCCCCAAAGCCCTCCCTGGGGCTTCACAGAGACCCCCCAGAGCCCCACAGAGCCCCCCAAATCCCCATTAGAGCCCCCCCAAATCCCCATAGAGCCCCCCAAACCCCTCCCTGGCACTTCACAGAGACCCCCAAATCCCCACAGAGCCCCCCAGATCCCCCCAAAGCCCTCCCTGGGGCTTCACAGAGAGTCCCAAAGCCCCCCAGAGCCCCCCAAATCCCCACAGAGCCCCCAAACCCCTCCCTGGTGCTTCACAGAGAGCCCCAAATCCCCACAGAGACCCCCAAATCCCCACAGAGCCCCCCAAATCCCCCCAAACCCCTCCCTGGGGCTTCACAGAGAGCCCCAAATCCCCCCAGAGCCCCCCAAATCCCCATAAATCCTCCCAAAGCCCTCCCTGGGGCTTCACAGAGACCCCCCAAATCCCCCCAAAGCCCTCCCTGGGGGGCTTCACAGAGAGCCCCAAACCCCCCCAGAGCCCCCAAAGCCCTCCCTGGGGCTTCACAGAGAGCCCCAGATCCCCACAGAGCCCCCCAAATCCCCACAGAGCCCCCCAAAACCCCTATAGAGCCCCCCAGACCCCCCCCAAAGCCCTCCCTGGGGCTTCACAGAGACCCCCAAACCCCCATAGAGCCCCCCAAATCCCCCAAACCCCTCCCTGGCACTTCACAGAGAGCCCCAAAGCCCCCCAAATCCCCACAGAGCCCCCCAAAACCCCTCCCTGGCACTTCACAGAGAGCCCCAAATCCCCACAGAGCCCCCAGACCCCCCCAAAGCCCTCCCTGGGGCTTCACAGAGAGCCCCAAACCCCCACAGAGCCCCCCAAACCCCCACAGAGCCCCCCAAATCCCCCCAAACCCCTCCCTGGCACTTCACAGAGAGCCCCAAATCCCCCCCAGAGCCCCCCAAATCCCCCCAGAGCCCCCCAAATTCCCCCAGATCCCCCCAAATCTCCCCAAATCCTCCCAAACCCCTCCCTGGCACTCTGGATGGGCTTCACAGAGACCCCCAAATCCCCCCATAGAGTCCCCAAATCCCCCCAAACCCCTCCCTGGACCCCAAACGTGCTGCCCAGAGACCCCCAAATCCTCCTGGCTCCCCCATTCAGGGTGCTCCTCCTCATTTTGGGGTGTCCCCCCCCAAATCTGAACAGTCCCCCCCGTTTTTGGGACATCCCCTGAAATTTTTATTCCCCCCCCGATGTTGGGGAGCCCCCCTCGATTTGGGCTGTCCCTCCCCAATTTCAGCTGTCCCCCAATATTTGGGGGTTCCCCCAGATTTCGGGGTTCCCCTTAATGTCGGGATGCCCCTCCCGATGTTGGGGTGCCCCCCCTAATGTCGGGGTTCCCCTACCAGATTTCAGATTCCCCCTCAGATTTTAAGATTTCGGGTTTCCCTCCCGATATTTTGGGGCTTCCCCCCCGATATTTTGGGGTGTCCCCCCCGATATTTTGGGGTGTCCCTCCCGATATTTTGGGGTGTCCCCTCCCGATATTTTTGGGCTTCCCCCCGTGATATTTTGGGGTGTCCCCCCCCCGATATTTTGGGCTTCCCCTCCCAATATTTGGGTGTCCCCTCCCCAATATTTTGGGGCTTCCCCCCGATATTTGGGGCTTCCCCCCGCGATATTTTGGGGTGTCCCCCCTGATATTTTGGGTTTCCCCTCCCGATATTTTGGGGTGTCCCTCCCCGATATTTTGGGCTTCCCCCTCCCGATATTTTGGGGTGTCCCTCCCGATATTTTGGGGTGTCCCCCCCTGATATTTTGGGGTTTCCCCCCCGATATTTTGGGGTGTCCCTCCCCGATATTTTGGGCTTCCCCTCCCGATATTTTGGGGTGTCCCTCCCCGATATTTGGGGCTTCCCTCCCCGATATTTTGGGCTTCCCCCCACGATATTTTGGGGTGTTCCCCCCCCGATGTTTTGGGCTGTCCCTCCCGATATTTTGGGATGTCCCCCCCCCGATATTTTGGGCTTCCCCCTCCCGATATTTTGGGGTGTCCCTCCCCGATATTTGGGGCTTCCCCTCCCGATATTTTGGGGTGTCCCTCCCGATATTTTGGGGCTTCCCCCCCGATATTTTGGGCTTCCCCTCCCGATATTTTGGGGGCTTCCCCCCCGATATTTTGGGCTTCCCCTCCCGATATTTTGGGGTGTCCCCCCCCGATATTTTGGGCTTCCCCCCCGATATTTTGGGCTTCCCCTCCCGATATTTTGGGGTGTCCCCTCCCCGATATTTGGGGCTTCCCCTCCCGATATTTTGGGCTTCCCCTCCCAACGTTTTGGGGCTTCCCTCCCCGATATTTTGGGCTTCCCCTCCCAACGTTTTGGGGCTTCCCTCCCCGATATTTTGGGGCTTCCCCCCGATATTTTGGGCTTCCCCTCCCGATATTTTGGTCTGTCCCTCCCGATATTTTGGGGTGTCCCTCCCGATGTTTTGGGCTTCCCCTCCTGATATTTTGGGCTTCTCCCCCCGATATTTGGGGTGTCCCCCCCCGATATTTTTGGGCTTCCCCTCCCGATATTTTGGGGTGTCCCCCCCGATATTTGGGGCTTCCCCTCCCGATATTTTGGGGTGTCCCTCCCCGATATTTGGGGCTTCCCCTCCCTATATTTTGGGCTTCCCCTCCCCGATATTTTGGGGCTTCCCCCCGGATATTTTGGGGTGTCCCTCCCCGATCTTTGGGGCTTCTCCTCCCCGATATTTTGGGGTGTCCCTCCCGATATTTTGGGCTTCCCTCCCGATGTTTTGGGGTGTCCCCCCCCGATATTTTGGGGCTTCCTCCCCCGATATTCTGGGCTTCCCCTCCCGATATTTTGGGGTGTCCCTCCCCGATATTTTGGGCTTCTCCCCCCGATATTTTGGGGTGTCCCCCCCGATATTTGGGGCTTCCCCTCCCCGATGTTTTGGGCTTCCCCCCCCGATATTTTGGGGTGTCCCCCCCCGATATTTTTGGGCTTCCCTCCCCGATATTTTGGGGCTTCCCCCCCCGATATTTGGGGTGTCCCCCGCGATGTTTTGGGGTGCGGTTGCAGGTGCTGGAGGGCCTGGATTACCTGCACACCAAGTGCAAGATCATCCACACGGACATCAAGCCCGAGAACGTCCTCGTGTGCGTGCCCCAGCCCTACCTGAGGCACCTGGCGGCGCAGGCGGCGCAGTGGGCGCGGGGGCCACGGCCCCCCCCCGAGGGGCAGGTACCCCCAAAAAAACACAGGGATAAATGGGAGGGGGCACCCCAAAATAGATCCCTGGGGAGGGTACCCCAAAATATGTAGGGCAGGTACCCCAAAATCGCAGCGATAAATGGGGTGGGCACCCCGAAATACAGGGGGTAACCCGAAATGGATCCCTGGGGAGGGTACCCCAAAATCACAGGGATGGGTGGGGGGGGACACCCCAAAATAGATCCCTGGGGAGGGTACCCCAAAAAACACAGCGATAGATGGGGGGGAGACACCTCGAAACACAGCAGGGACCCCAAAATAGATCCCCCAAAATCCGCGGGGCAGGTACCCCAAAAAACACAGCGATAGTGGGGGGGGACACCCCAAAATACAGCAGGGACCCCGAAATAGATCCCTGGGGGAGGGTACCCCCAATATCTGTGGGGCTGATACCCCAAAATCCATCCTGGAGGGAGGGTACCCCAAAATCCATCCCATGGTGGGCAGGGATCCCTAAAATCCATCCCCGGGGGGAGGGAACCCCAAAATGCATCAATGGGGTGGGGCAGGTACCCCAAAGTCCATCCCTAGGGGGAGGGAACCCCAAAATCCATCCGTGGGGGGAAGGGAACTCCAAAATCTGTGGGGCTGATACCCCAAAATCCATGCCCTGGAAGGCAGGAACTCCCCAAAACCTGTCCTGGAGTGTAGGTGACCCCAAAATCCACCCAAGGAGTGCAGGTGAACCCCAAAAATTCATCCTGGGGTGCAGGTGAACCCCAAAATCCACCCCGTGTGCAGGTGAACCCCAAAATCCACCCTGTGTGCTGGTACCTGTTGGGCCCCCCAAGACCAGGTGTGCCCAACCCCCTCCCTGCTCGGGGGGTCCCCCAAATCCCCACACCTGGGCTGACCCCGCCCCCCCCCACTCCTGTCTGTCCACAGTGAGCTCAGCACCGCAGGAGGAGCCCGTGAGTGGCCTGCACACCTGGGTGTGCTCACACCTGTGTGTGTGTGTGTGTGTGTGTGTGTGTGTGTGCTCACACCTGTGTGTGTGTGTGCACCGCAGGAGGAGCCCGTGAGTGGCCTGCACACCTGGGTGTGCTCACACCTGTCTGTGTGTGTGTGTGTGTGTGTGCGTGCTCACACCTGTGTGTGTGTGTGCTCACACCTGTCCTTGCACACCTGGGTGTGCTCACACCTGTCTGTGTGTGTGTGTGTGTGTGTGTGTGTGTGCTCACACCTGTGTGTGTGTGTGTGTGTGCTCACACCTGTGTGTGTGTGTGCTCTCACCTGTGTGTGTGTGTGTGTGTGTGCTCACACCTGTGTGTGTGTGCTCTCACCTGTGTGTGTGTGTGTGTGTGTGCTCACACCTGTCTGTGTGTGTGTGTGTGTGTGTGCTCACACCTGGGTGTGTGTGTGTGCACCTGTGTCATTGCACACCTGAGTGCCTGTGTGTGTGTTCACACCTGTGTGTGTGTGTGTGTGCACCGCAGGAGGAGCCCGTGAGTGGCGTGTACACCTGGGTGTGCTCACACCTGGGGGGGTGTGTGTGTGTGCGTGCTCACACCTGTGTGTGTGCTCACACCTGTGTGTGTGTGTGTGTGCTCACCTGTGTGTGCTCACACCTGTGTCATTGCACAGCTCTGTGTGTGTGTGTGCTCACACCTGTCCCTTGCACACCTGGGTGTGCTCACACCTGTGTGTGTGTGTGTGTGTGCGTGTGTCATTGCACACCTGGGTGTGTGTGTGTGCTCACACCTGTCCTTGCACACCTGGGTGTGCTCACATGTGTGTGTGTGTGCTCACCTGTGTCATCGCACACCTGGGTGTGCTCACCTGTGTGTGTGTGCTCACACCTGTGTGTGTGTGTGTGTGTGTGTGCACCGCAGGAGGAGCCTGTGAGTGGCCTGCACACCTGGGTGTGCTCACACCTGTGTGTGTGTGTGTGTGTGTGTGTGTGTGTGCTCACACCTGTCCTTGCACACCTGGGTGTGTGTGTGTGCTCACACCTGTCCTTGCACACCTGGGTGTGCTCACACCTGTGTGTGTGTGTGTGCTCACACCTGTGTGTGTGTGTGTGCTCACCTGTGTGTGTGTGTGCTCACCTGGGTGTGCTCACATGTGTGTGTGTGTGTGTGCTCACCTGGGTGTGCTCACACCTGTGTGTGTGTGTGTGCTCATACCTGTGTCATTGCACACCTGTGTGTGTGTGTGTGTGTGCTCACACCTGGGTGTGTGTGTGTGTACCTGTGTCATTGCACACCTGTGTGTGTGTGTGTGTGCTCACCTGGGTGTGCTCACACCTGTGTGTGTGTTTGTGTGTGTGCCTCACCTGTTTCATTGCACACCTGTGTGTGTGTGTGTGTGTGTGCTAACACCTGGGTGTGCTCACCTGGGGGTGTGTGTGTGTGTGCTCAACTGTGTCATTGCACACCTGGGTGTGCTCACACCTGTCCTTGCCACACTGTGTCTGTGTGGTCACCCAGGTGTGCTCATCTGTGTCATTGCACTCCTGTGTGTGTGTGTGTACTCAACCTGTGTGTTCTCTCACCCGTCCTTGCACACCTGTCCTTGCTCACCTGTGTGTTCTCTCACCTGTCCTTGCACACCCGTGTGTGTGCTCTCACACCTGTCCTTGCACACCTGTCCTTGCACACCTGTGTGTGTGTTCTCTCACCTGTGTTCTCTCACCTGTGTTCTCTCACCTGTGTTCTCTCACCCATCCTTGCACACCCGTGTGTGCCCTCACACCTGCGCACAGCTCCCCTGTGTGCCACCGCATGGTTTTGCACTCAAACCTGTCTGCCCTTGGCCCCCCTAAATCACAGCTCCCCCGATCTAAGGACCCCCAAAACCGAGGGGATTCCACCAAAACCGAGGGAATCCCCCCCAAAACCGAGGGAATCCCCCCCAAAATTGAGGGAATTCCACCAAAATCGAGGGATTCTCCCCAAAATCGAGGGAATCCCCCAAAACCGAGGGAATCCCCCCCAAAATCGAGGGATTCTCCCCAAAACCGAGGAATCCTCCCAAAATCGAGGGAATTCCCCCCAAAATCGAGGGAATCCCCCCCAAACTGAGGGAATTCCCCCCAAAAACAGAGGGGATTCTCCCCCAAAACCTAAGGAATCCCCCCAAAATCGAGGGAATTCCCCCAAACCGAGGGATTCCCCCCCAAAATCGAGGGAATTCCCCAAAACCGAGGGAATACCCCCAAAACCGACGGATTCCCCAAAACTGAGGGAATTCCCCAAAATTGAGGGATTCTCCCCAAAACCGAGGGATTCCCCCAAAACCGAGGGAATTCCCCAAAATCGAGGGAATTCCTCCAAAACCGAGGGATTCCCCCCAAAAACCCGTCCCCCTCCCAGGAGCGGCCTGTCGCGGGCTCAGCGGCGCCGGCGGCGGCGGCGACAGCGGCGACAGCGACAACTCCTGGCAGAGCGACTGAGGGAGCTGGAGCGGCTGCGCGACAGCGACACCGGTCAGTGCTGAGGGGGGGACATTGGGGACAGCGACACCGGTCAGTGCTGAGGAGGGGGACACTGGGGACACCGGGGGGGGACACTGGGGACACCGGTCAGTGCTGAGGGGACATTGGGGGGGACATTGGGGACAGCGACACCGGTCAGTGCCGGGGGGGACAATGGGGACACTGCTGAGGACACTGGGGACACTTGGGGGTTGGTTTGAGGTGCGAATTTTTGGGGGTGAATTTTTGGTGTGAATTTTTGGGGGGCTTTGAGGTGTGAATTTTGGGGTGAATTTTTTGGGGTGTGAATTTTTGGGATGAATTTTGAGGTGAATTTGTTGAGGGGGGTTGGTTTGAGGTGTGAATTTTCGGGGTGAATTTTTGGGATGAATTTTCGGGGTGTGAATTTTCGGTGTGAATTTTTCTGTGTGTGTTTGTTTTGAGGGGGTGGTTTGAGGTGTGAATTTTTGGGATGAATTTTTGGGGTGAATTTTTTTGGAGGGGTTTGAGGTGTGAATTTTCGGGGTGTGAATTTTTGGGATGTGAATTTTCGGTGTGAATTTTTCTGTGTTTGTTTTGAGGGGGTGGTTTGAGGTGTGAATTTTTGGGGTGTGAATTTTTGGAGGGAATTTTCGGTGCGAATTTTTGGGATGTGAATTTTCAGTGTGAATTTTTGGGATGAATTTGGGAGTGAATTTTCGGTGTGAATTTTCGGGGTGTGAATTTTTGGTGTGAATTTTTGGGATGTGAATTTTTGGGATGAATTTTTGGGATGTGAATTTTCGGTGTCAATTTTTCTGTGTTGTTTTGAGGGGGTGGTTTGAGGTGTGAAATTTTGGGATGAATTTTTGGGTGTGAATTTTTTGGGGGGGTTTGAGGTGTGAATTTTTGGTATGAATTTTTGAGGTGTGAATTTTGGGATGAATTTTTGGGGTGTGAATTTCTGTCTGTGTTTGTTTTGAGGGGGTGGTTTGAGGTGTGAATTTTTGGGGTGTGAATTTTGGGTGTGAATTTTTGGGATGTGAATTTTCAGTGTGAATTTTTCTGTATGTGTTTGTTTTGAGGGGGGGTTTGAGGTGTGAATTTTTGGATGGATTTTTGGGGTGTGAATTTTTGGGATGAATTTTTGAGGTGAATTTGTTGAGGGGGGTTGGTTTGAGGTGTGAATTTTTGGTGTGAATTTTTGGAAATTTTCGGTGTCAATTTTTCTGTGTGTTTGTTTTGAGGGGGTGGTTTGAGGTGTGAATTTTTGGGATGAATTTTGGGTGTGAATTTTCGGTGTGAATTTTTGGGATGTGAATTTTTGGGTGTGAATTTCTGGGGTGTGAATTTTTGGGAGGGAATTTTCGGTGTGAATTTTTGGGTGTGAATTTTCGGTGTGAACTTTTCTGTGTTTGTTTTGAGGGGGTGATTTGAGGTGTGAATTTTTGGGTGTGAATTTTTGGTGTGAATTTTCGGGGTGTGAATTTTTGGGAGGGAATTTTCGGTGTGAACTTTTCTGTGTTTGTTTTGAGGGGGTGGTTTGAGGTGTGATTTGAGGTGTGAATTTTTGGTGTGAATTTTTGGGTGTGAATTTGTTGTGGGTGTGAATTTTTGGGTGTGAATTTTTGAGGTGAATTTTTGGGAGGGAATTTTTGGTGTGAATTTTTCTCTGTGTGTTTCTTTTGAGGGGGGGTTTGAGGTGTGAATTTTTGGGATGAATTTTTGTGTGTTTGGTTTGAGGGGGGGTTTGAGGTGTGAATTTTAGGTGTGAATTTTCGGGGTGTGAATTTTTGGGAGGAATTTTCGGTGCGAATTTTTGGGATGTGAATTTTCAGTGTGAATTTTTGGGATGAATTTTGGGAGTGAATTTTTGGTGTGAATTTTTGGGTGTGAATTTTTGGGATGAATTTTTGGGATGTGAATTTTTGGGATGAATTTTTGGGATGTGAATTTTCGGTGTCAATTTTTCTGTGTTTGTTTTGAGGGGGTGGTTTGAGGTGTGAATTTTCGGGGTGTGAATTTTTGGGATGGGAATTTTCGGTGTGAATTTTTCTGTATGTGTTTGTTTTGGGGGGTGGTTTGAGGTGTGAATTTTTGGGATGGATTTTTGGGGTGTGAATTTTTGGGATGAATTTTTGGGTTGAATTTGTTGAGGGGAAGGGTTTGAGGTGTGAATTTTTGGTGTGAATTTTGGGTGTGAATTTTCGGGGTGTGAATTTTTGGGAGTGAATTTTCGGTGTGAATTTTTGGGTGTGAATTTTCGGGGTGTGAATTTTTGGGAGTGAATTTTCGGTGTGAATTTTTGGGGTGAATTTTCGGTGTGAACTTTTCTCTGTCTGTTTTGAGGGGGTGGTTTGAGGTGTGAATTTTTGGGATGAATTTTGGGATGAATTTTCGGTGTGAATTTTTGGGATGTGAATTTTTGGGATGTGAATTTTGGGAGTGAATTTTCGGTGTGAATTTTTGGGATGTGAATTTTTGGGATGAATTTTGGGAGTGAATTTTCGGTGTGAACTTTTCTCTGTCTGTTTTGAGGGGGGTTTTGAGGTGTGAATTTTTGGGATGAATTTTTGAGGTGAATTTGTTGAGGGGGGTTGGTTTGAGGTGTGAATTTTTGGTGTGAATTTTTGGGAATTTTCGGTGTCAATTTTTCTGTGTGTTTGTTTTGAGGGGGTGGTTTGAGGTGTGAATTTTTGGGGTGAATTTTTTGGGAGGGAATTTTCGGTGCGAATTTTTGGGATGTGAATTTTCGGTGTGAATTTTTGGGATGAATTTTGGAGTGAATTTTCGGTGTGAATTTTCGGGGTGTGAATTTTCGGGGTGTGAATTTTTGGGATGTGAATTTTCGGTGTGAATTTTCGGTGTGAATTTTTGGGATGAATTTTTGGGATGTGAATTTTCGGTGTCAATTTTTCTGTGTTTCTTTGAGGGGGTGGTTTGAGGTGTGAATTTTTGGGAGGGAATTTTTGGGGTGAATTTTTTTGGGGGGGTTTGAGGTGTGAATTTTTGAGGTGAATTTGTTGGGGATGGGAATTTTTGGGGTGAATTTGTTGAGGGGGGTTGGTTTGAGGTGTGAATTTTCGGGGTGTGAATTTTTGGATGAATTTTGGTGTGAATTTTCGGGATGTGAATTTTTGGGAGGGAATTTTCAGTGTGAACTTTTCTGTGTTTGTTTTGAGGGGTGGTTTGAGTGTGAATTTTTGGGTGAATTTTTGGGTGTGAATTTTCGGGGTGTGAATTTTTGGGTGTGAATTTTGGGTGTGAATTTTTGGGGTGAATTTTTGGGTGGGAATTTTTGGGGGGGTTTGAGGTGTGAATTTTCGGGGTGTGAATTTTTGGGAGGGAATTTTCGGTGTCAATTTTTCTGTGTTTGTTTTGAGGGGGTGGTTTGAGGTGTGAATTTTTGGGATGAATTTTGGGAGTGAATTTTGGATGTGAATTTTCGGTGTGAACTTTTCTCTGTCTGTTTTGAGGGGGGGGCTCTCAGTCTCTCTTTCTCCTGCAGAAACGCCCCCGGAGGAGTTTGGGGGGAGCCCCCCGAGCGGGGCCTCGTCCTCGGGGGTGCACACGCTGCCCGCGGGGGGGGGGGGCTCCAGCGATGGATTCTCGGGGGGCTCCCCGGGACCCCCCCCCCCGCCGCCCCCCCAGCCCCAGCTCGGCCTCGGATTCGCTCTTCACCCCCACCTCGGGCTCCCTCATCTCGGGGGGCTCCGAGGGGCTCCCCAAAACCCTGGGTCAGTGTGGGGGGGGGGGGGGTTTGGGGGGGGGTCTAGAGGGGGAATTTGGGGAGAATTTGGGGGGAATTTGGGGTCTGGAGGGGCATTTGGGTGGGGCTTTGGGGGGGAATTTGGGGTTGGGGGGGTCTAGAGGGGGAATTTGGGGTGGATTTGGGGGAAATTTGGGGTCTGGAGGGGCATTTTGGGGTGGACTTGGGGTTGGGGAGGGTCTAGAGGGGCAATTTGGGGTGGATTTGGGTCTGGAGGAGGATTTTGGGGTGGATTTGGGGGGAATTTGGGGTCTGGAGGAGGATTTTGGGTGGGGGTTTGGGGGATATTTGGGTTTGGGGTAGGGTCTAGAGGGGGAATTTGGGTTGGATTTGGGGGAAATTTGAGGTCTGGAGGGGCATTTTGGGTGGGGGTTTGGGGGGAATTTGGGGTTGGAGGGGCATTTTGGGTGGGGGTTGGGGGGGAATTTGGGGTTGGGGGGGCATTTTGGGGTGGATTTTGGGGGATATTTGGGGTTGGGGAGGGTCTAGAGGGGGAATTTAGGGGGAATTTGGGGTGTGGAGGAGCATTTTGGGGGGGGGTTTGGGGGGAATTTGGGGTTGGGGGGGGTCT